TGGTACTCCTCGTATGAAAGTTCGCAGTTGGTGTAACAGTATGGATATGGATCCTCTAGGAAGCTCCAAACGTGGCTGATGATTAGTGTTACTGATTGAAACTTTTATCGACATATGGATAGCGCTATAAACCGTCATATTCGGGATAATATGTAACATGTCTCTATGCCATATAGCCTATTTTTTTTGGGGGGGGGGGTTAGGCTGTGGCTTAAGTGTTTATGCGCATTTTAAATGTTGTCCATCACTTAGTTATGCTACAACTGTCACCTAATCGGCGTTTGTCATAAGCTGTTGCATGGGTTCACATGTATTTACTTGGTTGTATTTTCTTTACGGGTCTTAAGATCTGATGCTTAACTGAAAAGTGTGGGCAGCAAACTAATAACTATGGTAATTGATGTATATTGGGCATCCCTTTTTAAAATATTCTGTCGTGGTATTTTATATTCTTCATTCCTAAAAGTCAGCAAATCTTTCTAAGTTGTTGGTCTCCCAACGTCCGCTTGTTACATCAACACAGCTACTTTAAGCGGTAGTCTGTTTCCATCCAGTTTTACCTTAGGAATTGCTTGAAAATGTACTGCTGATTTCCCTATAATGGTTACATGCGGATTAATTACTATAATACCACCTACTTTAGCACCAAAAGAATTCACAAATATCAACTGTTAGCAGTCGACGTTTCACAACTTCTTTGGTCCTGGAACCCAAATATACAAGGGGTAGAACGCGTATTCGATAAGATAATCGGATATATATATATGCGTCGGTGGCACAGTGGTTAGGACTCTCGCCGACCATGCATATGGTCCGGGGTTCGATCCCCTGCCGACGCACACCTGATATCTATGGTCGGCCTGAAATTTGGGCTACCGATATCATATGCTGAAAATTCCATACTTGTACTGAAAATACGGTGTGGAATCAAGCTGTAATCAAAATAAATAAAATAAAATAAATTGACTATTGATCCATTTTCATCTATCAACTTGTTTAAAACAATTTTTTGGAGGGATGCTTAAATTCTGGTGTTATACTCTCACTAATATGAAAATAATAAATACCATCTGCTAAGCTTGGTACCAGAATAGATAGAGAATGCATTATACTGATTGTTTATTAGACTCTGTTTAGAATCTATTTTTATTTTTTTCCTCTTATTTCTCTTCTTTTTCTTCTTATTCACACTTTACTCATGCACAACATTTACGTGTATTTTAAGGTGAAACAAAGAAATAATTTTGAAAATGGAATCTCTAAGTAGAAAGCTTGTTTGTTTTATTGTATCAATTGATATTAATCACTGTTTACATTGTCGTCATTATTCTCCCCCTCTTAGTTATCGTTGCAGTTGTTGTTGTTGTCGTCGTCGTCAAGTAACACACCACTTTCATCATTTATGCTACTGCAGATGATCATGATGAATAAAGAGGAAAGTAGTGACCACGCCTCTTGAGCACTATGACCTTTAAGCTTTTTTTTTTTCAAAAAAACAAACAACAACAAATAAATGATTTTTAGTTTTGTTTTAAATGATATTGTACAGTGTGTTATTGTGTTTATTTATTAATTTTGAAATATATAATATACACGCGATGCGGTCCTAGGTGGTGAACTTCAACTGTGTATGAATTGGTGATTTATTCCTCATTGTCATCTCATAGGCTTGTATCATCTTCACGCATACCAACACACACACACGCACGCACGCACTCATACACACGCACATATATACATTGAAATTACACATGCAAACAATCATCTATGCTTAAAAGTGTCTACCCGCATTCGATTTCACTTTGTTCCTGCTTATTGTCTATTCAGATATCCTTTTTTTTAAAAAATATTTTAAAAAATGCTTTCATAAATATATATTAAAAAACTATACATACCTCTACATGCATTCAGTCAACCTTTCATCCCATCTACTAATGACCTTGATGATAAAAATATGCATGAGTTTGCTGACTCAATGTGACCCTTATCCCTGTATAAATATACTGTATTGCTTCCATTTAGAAATACTACTACAACAACAACACTATACGTCTACTTTTAAAAGCAATAGAATTCTCTAATACAGTTTAGTTATTTATTCGGATGGAAACACAGTGCTGAAAATGTTGTATAGACTTATAGGGGATGTAGGAGAGTGTAAAATATTTTAATGAATTAATGGAAAATAATAATAACAATCATCCTAGATGAGGTCATTTATGTACTTAGTGTAAGTTTCAAGTTGTATTTTGCCTCAGGACTTCAATAATCAGGTTTACTCTCTAGGAGTGTAAGGCATATTTATCATTAACCTCTTGTTAGTTGATTTATGTACTTTCACGAAGTGATTCCATTTGTTCGACTTTTTTCATACATAATGCTTACTTAGAAGGAATTGTTTTAACCATCATATATTTATTATCATTTATGAATTTGAATAAAGCAGGAACAATAGCCGTTTGTGCAGAATAACATGGTACCATCATTTATTTATTATTTTTTTGGCTTCTCATCAACCCAGCCGCATACAGCCTAAAGAAATGAATTAAGTTTATGAGCTGAACAATTTTAATATCCTTGCAAATGTTATTGACAGGAGACTCCAAACTTAATAAACAGTGAGCAGAAAATTACAGTTATATCGGTTTTATCCAGAGAGTTCAAGTTGAAACAAAAATAAATGTTTGCATACAATGGCAAAGGTGTTACGTAATAAAGAGGAGAGATAAGTAAGGTGATAAGTTAACTAATAAAATGAGAAACACTATAGTGAATCCAACTCAAACCGTAGAAACTAGAGACAGCCAAAAGTTACACTATACAAAAAGTGGGAGGGGGAAAGACTTAAACCGAAAATTACATAATCAAAAGAGAAAAAAAGAGAATAAAGATATCCAGTTACCAGGGCAAGGAAAGACTGATGACTGCTTAAGTTCTTAACACATAAATCAAACTTAAGGCATATGATAGCAATTGCTTCTGCGAAACTGAACTACTCTATCTATTGATAATTTTAAAGGATTTCGTGATGTCCATCTTATTCTGGACAAACTGTTGTTCTTGTTTTAACTATGTTTTATATCAATTATTACACTAGTGTGGAGAAATTCATTTAAAGAAAGAGGGGGATTAATTTTATAGGTGAAGTAAACTATAAACACAATTTTAAAGACTCTTATAATTTGAATTTTACAAAACGCTAGATTTCTCCTTCAATTTAGATTAAACTGGTGTGTACGATTGATTATTACAATCTCTGATTTATCAACAGGATAGTGTTCTTGAAATGTATTCCACAGTGTAATAGTAATTATGAAACACTGCCCAAATTATATTACAGTTTTAAAACAAGATCGCAGATGCCTTCCCACCACACTTTGTGTGTACGTGTATGTCATTCAACGTAATAATCACAACAGACATTATTTCTCAAGTATTGGTTTTGTAGGGATTTTGTTTGATTAGTTGGAGGATTTCATCATGAGCTGACATCAGTTAGAGAACCACTGGAAAACCAACAGGGAGTAGTGGACGACCGTTTCGTCCTAGTTTGTGACTCTTCGTTAGTACGTACCCACCGGGGTTCGAACCCAGGACCGAAACTAGGACGAAACAGCTGTCTAGTACTCCCTGGCAAGTTTTCCAATGTTTCTCAAACTGATGTCAGATCATTGTGAAATCCTTCAACCAATCAGACATTATTTCTCCCGCTTTTCATTTCCTTGTACATAACGTAAACGATGGAAGTGTAGAACTTGGGCAATGTAGTAGAATATAATTCCATATTAGATCAGTTTATTTGAAATAATCCACAGTGATGCAGTATTAATAGCTTATAAGTTATTTATCCGCTTATATGCATTATTATCAGCAATTAGCTCGAACAACTGATCCTAATAAAATCTGTTCGGGATATTGTGCAATTTATACCACAAAATACACTAATGTAATGTAAAAGAACTTTGAGAGAGAGAGTTTGACTAGAAGGCAAACGTAATTAGTGCATGGAATTCCAGCATATCCAGTTCATAAACTCTACTCGAACCAATAAAAAAGCCATTATATTCCGTCCTGGTAGCTGGATAGTCGACAGCCTTGCCTAGTAACTTGAATGTCGTGGTTTCAGTTTTCGATGAAGTCATGAATACATACTGCTTAAGAATCCCAAGCTAGAACAAAACAGCTGTCCACTACTTCCTGGTTTCTAGACAGTTCTCTAAATGATGTAACTCCATGATCTAACTTGAAAGGGAAGGAAGGAAGATTTGATATGATTGTGAACAGTAGACTGTGTTTGAAAAGTCATCCAGTAAGTAATATCGTTTAACTATGTGACCTAAGGAATCGAATACTTTATTGAATATGATGAAAACAACTTATCGGAAACGGATTAATGTACAAGGTGAATGCGTGACGCTATATACTACTGACCGACAAAGATGAGTAGTTGTATACCACTTACATCAACCAGTATTGCCTGCTAGTCAGATCGAACAGTTCTAAACACCGGAACGTCGAACCCATCAGAGATGTACCCGATTTGATTTAGCTCAGATAGCCGAATTAGTTCAAACCATCCAAATCCTGGCTAGCTCCTCAGATGAACTGGCAATACCTTAAATCATATTCTCATTTTGCAATGTAATTTAGCAGTGGAGTTGGTAATATTGATTTTGTTTGAGACATCTTCCAAATGTGACATATATTCCCTTGGTATTCAGAAATTATTCATACGGATGAAGGTTAACAATGTGGGAAACCAAGGATATTATTTTTTTTGACACCAAGTTGAATACTCTTAAGTTGGAACGTGTTACTTTGGGTAAGTGATACATAGATTTATAAAATTTTTCCCACATCAGCTTGACTTGCAGACAATTGGGGAAACTGCTGAAAACGACAGACATTCAAAGTGATTTTTCATAACTCTTCACTCATTTATTACAGTTTGATCCTTATAGATTACTGTTTTCCTTTTTTTACCTTATAAATTATATCAGACTCACAACCATCTTCACCAGGCGAATCCGAGGCACTTTCTCCAATTGCATCAGGTTGTTACAATCCCCGTTATCCTCATCATCATCATATGTTAGGATCAAATTTCCCCTATCATCCTGGATCAACAGATATGGTAATTTTGTTTTCAGTTTTCAGTTTTCTTTCCATTTTTTTTCTCTCTTCCGGTTAATCCCAAATATTCAATTTCAATGTAATCCCTTTTTTTTGTATTATAGAGAAATTTCCATTCCTGTAACTGTAAGGCATAAATTCACACTTAGTATTTCACAAAATGTGATGGAACAAAAATTATACTAGAGAATAGTTTCTGTCAATCATGTATGGTGTATATTTGTGCACATGTGCCTGTGTGTGTGTGCGTGTGTGTGATTCTGTATGTTAATGTTTTCCAGATTTATCACAGTTGATGAGTGAATAAATGAATGTATGTACACTATGGGTACCATATATGTATATATGTATCTACTAACTTGACAAAATTTCAAGCTGAGTGAAGTAGACATTGAAGTCAATTTGTTGTATTGATTCTTGTTTATTCATTATATTATAAATCAAAATTTGATGTTATAAACAAAATATATAGTGTGATGTTAATCATAAAAATTATAACAGATTATTCCTATTGCTGTTACCCTACAGCCTACCTAGATAAACAAAAATTCAAGTTGTACTTATTGAGAAGTCTAGAAATGTACCACATACTACTGCTACTACTACTACTACTACCTGTATTAGATCGAAAGATAAGTTTCAACAGGTTATAAAGTTTACTGGAGTTAGACAATCATATTATTATTATTATTATAAAAATGATTCATCTGATGAAGATCGTGTATGAAGTCGTCAAAACATATGTGGCCATTTGACGGTAAAAATGTTGCAGAAAATTAAATTAAATTAAATTAAATAGGTAGATTGAACAAGCAGTCAGCTAATTTTATCTAACAAAAAAGAAAGTAAAAACAAACTACCTTTATTTTCTTTGTGTATTTCTGCGTTGACAAGTGTCTCCTGCAACATGTGTTACCAATAATTAATTTCCTGTGGATTCCACATGTATAAACCTCATTCACTAGGTATATGTTGATGCCACATATCAAGTAATTCGTTATAGGAAGTGCATTGAAGTGTGAAGACAAGAGCAAACTATCACCGATGATCTTCTTAATTGTAGTATGATGGATCACGAGGTGGAAGGCTATACGTCAGGCTGACAGAAATCCATATGAAATGCAGACTTTGTGAAAGATTTATATCTTATGTCCAATAAACCTGAAGATTAATAATCGAAAACCGACTAGTTGATAGAAGAGGCAGAGAAGGCAGGACTTAGGATGAACACAGAAAAGAAAAGGATAATGGAGGTACCTAACCGAAGACAAGCACCAGACACCATGAATGGAAGAAATCTAAAAAAAACTCGTCTCTTTGACTAACCTAACCTAAGCAGCATGATTTCAACTACACACTGTACGGATAATGATATCAAAGCCAGTTGGGATCAGATCTAGAAAGACAGATGTCCATCATTCCTGAAATCAGTATGGAGATCTGCAGCACTCAGCTCAAAGAAAAAGATCCTAATTTTCAACACCAATGTCATGTTAGTCAGTGCTTCTATATAGTTCAGAGACTTGATGTGCGCGTCAGTGAAAGCATTTCCCATTGGTTGCAGACTTTCATCAACAGCTGCCTTCTCTGTCCTGAAAATGACGATCACACGTCTGGACGGAAAGGATAAAGGACGGCAAAGAATTCTAGCAGAGTAACGAACAAACCAAGAACCTACAACTGGTCCAATGTTATTGCAGAAGGAAATGAAGATGGACTGGACGTACGCTGAGGAGACTTTCAAGTAATATCACACGTCGCAGAGATCGCTGACTGGAACCCAAATGAAAGCAACGATATGGGCAGTATTGGAATCGGCTGAAAGTTATGGTAGAGGACCGAATGCAGTGGTGAATTGCCATTGAAGCCCTGTGTTCCACTCAGAACGCTAGGAATGCATGATAATAATAATAGTCATCTGGATACTACATAAAAGCAATAAAGTGGATCTTCTTTCAAGATCAAACATTTTTGCATTGGGCTTTTCTTGTTTAGATCGATCAGTCTACTTTAGCACATAAGTAGCTTGTATGTTGACTTCAGTACTACCTTTGAGTGCATCTTGACATTATTTGATAACAGTTAGGCTAACACACGTTTCATATGAGTATGGAACTCGATACCAGGAAAAATTGAGTTTCTACTGAATATAGAGTCCAGTATTCATTGTTTTAAACTCTAAAGAAATTCCATTTAAACTATTAAGGTACAATGGTTGTTTCTTGTTTACCAGATATCTAAGTGAATTTACCATTCTTAAACTTAAACCTCTCAAGAAAACCTGTCATAATTCTGTAGTTTTAGGAATAATATTCCCCACTCTCAAGTGATCTGGTCTCAGTGAGAAGAGAAAGGAAGATATTAGTGCATACGGTTGGTGGTCGCGCTAAAATCCCGAATCAGTAGAAGTTAGAATTCATGGGCTGGTCACTGAGCTGGTTCCCAGTGGTTGAATGGCCTGGGAGCTTGCTTTGTAGCCGGAAGGTCCTGATTTCGAAACCCAGTTGTGGTGTGTACTGACGATGAGTCCTCAACTCGGACGAAACGACTTCCCAGTACTCCCTGTTGGTTTTCAGTGGTTCTCTGACTGATATCAATCCGCGATCAAACTTAATAATTCCTGAGTCAGACAAAATGCACGTTACCAACTAAAAGTAAACTGAAGTTTATTTTTCATGACGCATTAACAACTTTTCAGAGGAAGACGAATAAGCCGTTTTATAACTTACTAGTAGTGGAATCAAAAGTTTCCAGAATATTACCATCTTCTAGGCCAGTTGGATAGCGCTTTAGATATTTCTGGTTTATAATTTTATTCTCATCATATTTGCATGTTGTAATACCAGAGATTGGAAATTAAACAGATGCAATTATGAAAATCAACAGAATATTTTAATATGCTATTAGATATCTATAGGGTTCAAACCTAACTTTAAAATAAACACAGTATCCATAGTCTTTCATTTGATCGATAAATGCCATCACTTTGAAAAGAAGTGTGCTTAACAGAACTTTGGTAAATAAATCCCTTTGAAGAATGAAGTTATACGTCTAGAGTTTTCCCTCAAACTTAAAGATTCAGGTGACAGATAGTTGAATACATCTGACAGTTAGTGATTATTAGTCGAGTATTGGTTTGTAGGGATTTGGTTGATTCGTTACAGGATTTCATAATGAGCTAACATCGGTTAGAGAACCATTGGAAAACCTGCACGGAGTACTGGACAGTCTAGTTTGGGGCTCTTCACAGTATGCACCCATCACCATGGTTTGAACCCAGAACCTTCTAGTTACAAGGCGAGCTAGCTCGTAGACCATTAAGCCACCGGCCAGTCCATGAATTCTAACTCCTGCCAATTCACGACATAGCGCGACCACTGGCCAATAACACTGGTGGCTAGTATTTCTCTTCACACCCAAGGTGCTGTACCCTACTGGTCACTACTTCGCAATAAAACCTCAGGCAACTACTTAATAGGGCCAGTCACTAGTGAGCATCTTATTGATATTCAAGTATTGGTTTGTAGGGATTTAACTGATTGGTTACAGCTGATTACTGCCGAGGACCCCCAAACTGGGACGAAACAACCGTCCAGTACTCCCTGTTAGTTTTCAAATGGTTCTCTAACCGATATCAGCTCATGATAAAATCCTGTAATCAGTTAACGATTAGTTTAAGAACGCTAAAATACATCCTGTTTTAATCTTTGTAATGATAACCAACTTTTTATGTATGACAGATTAAAACTGAGTAAATGTGCTCCATTCTTATGATAGAAATAATGAAACATCATGTGAGTAACCTACAGCCAAGTTGGATTTTGCTAGCTATCTACTTAGGTTTCCTCAAGAATTGGATAGTTATCATCGTAGAATGAGTACACCAACAGCAAGCGGTGTGAAACCATTATACATATATAACTCTAGTGAGATATAACATCTTCAAGATAGTCTGGCAGAAAATAAGTTTCATTTCTCCATTCATTCAATTGATGTGAGAATGGCATGGATATAGATGAATTTGTGAGTGTACGGGTGTGATAGTTCGAGACCGAGTACATTCAACCGAATAAGTCAAATGTGATCCAGTTCACCTTCATGATGTACAACAATATGTATACATACACTCCTAAAATTTATTTATACAAATTACATTTGATAATGTGTACTTCCCTTTGAAGAAAAGAAAATGTCTATACCCACACAGTAGGTGGGCGAATCTGTATATATTACTTTTTGCTACTTCTTTTTCTTTCCCACTAATCCCATTAATCCTTCAAAGTCATACTGTTTTGTCTCAATATGATTGAAGAGATAATTTATATAAACATTTGTTGACTTCTAAAATTTAAAATGCAAATTCTGTCATATTTATTGATGCTCATAAGAGAACATCAACTCGCTCTCTCTCGCAAACATACATGTAGATATTCACAAGACTGTCTCTGCCTTTAAAGGCATCACTGAAGTGTACAGTGAATTTGTATGCAGAATAATTTAGACTTTACCTTTCAAACTGGTACCGTAGGAAATGGGAGTACAAAATTTTTCAGTTGTGTGTTGTTACCGGTTTTAATCTTCTACATAGTATATGTACTGACTGAAAACGACTCTTTTCCTTAAAGTATTGATTACTTCTTCTGTCTGCATTACCGTGTACATCAAACTGATGACTTATAGTAGAACAACATTTCTGACATTTGCTGAGTAATAAGTGATCTCTGTCCTTATAATTTTCAGTGGAATCTACCTCATTTTTAAACTACATAGGGGAATAAGCACAGCAATTTGAGTTTACGAGTTGATCACGGATTGATATTAGTTAGAGAACCACTGAAAACCAAAAAAAACTAATCTTTACAAACCAACTATAGAAAACAGCAATTTGTCGTGGATGTGAATGTATTCAATAGCTGTTTATTGTCACATTTGTAGGCACAGGGGTTAGGACTCTCGCCGACCATGCACATGGTCCGGGGTTCGATCCCCTGCCGACGCACACCTGATATCGTTGGCTGGCCTGCAAAATTTGGGCTAAGGATATCTCATGCTGAGAATTCCATAGTTGTAGCAAAAATACTGTGTGGAATCAAGCTATAATCAAAAATATAAAAAGAATGATGAAAAGTCTGTTAAAATTTATCTAAGACTAAACATATAAAACGTGAAGTCCATCCAGTCAAGTGTGAGGATGGATGTCCCACCGATGACACTGGTTGGTGGTCGCGCTAAATCACGAAGTGGTAGAAGTTAGAATTCATGGGTTGGTCACTGAGTCGGGTCCAAGTGGCTGAATGGTCTACGAGCTTGCGTTGTAACCGGAAGGTCCTAGGTTCGACCTCCTGGTAGTGGGTGCGTACTACCGATGATTCCCAAGCTAAAATTTAACTGTTATGCGGAATATATCGAGAAAAAAAGCGATTATTGTTATAATTACTACTGATATGATGTATTAGTTGGGAACGACTAAAACAGATTAGAAAAGTTTTCCTAAACCCAATCCCATGTGTTTATTAGGTTCTTTCCTTCAGTGCCAGTGTTTATGTTGGACAGATTGAACTTAATGACTTGAGACTTTATTTGTAAAGTGCTCATGGTTCAACTGATTCAAGCTTAAACACAAATGTACTTTATTCTGATTTTCCAGCCATCATTTATTTCAAAACTTTGGCTTTTAAAAGTTCTTTTCTTTTTCTTTCTCTACGATCAGATTCCACCAGGCTACCGACGTCATTTATCCGGTCGACTTGATGATGATTCCTTATGTGGTTCATCCGATGTGGAAAATCCTCGATCAGGTTGTCTGCATTCCAATTCATTGCACAATCTTAATCGTACAGGTTATGATATGCAAGGATCATGTTACAATACAAATTTTCATACAGTTGATTATAACTCTCCTTATTTTATGGATAAATCTATGATACAAGAGGATGGTTCAGTATCTTGTGATGAATCACTTTCACAGCTTCATTCATTCCTTTCACCGTATGGTTCATCTACGTTAAGTAGTGCAGCTTTTCATGCCAGTTTGGATGGTTTATGTGTTGGTGGGAAACAAAAACGTGGAGTATTGCCTAAAAGAGCTACACAGATCATGAAACAATGGCTATTTCAACACCTTGTAGTAAGTGAATAGTTTGATTTTCAACTTTTCAAATGTTAAACAATTTTAGATTGGTTTCATTTCATTTAAGGTGCAAATTAATTGAAGTAAGCAGTGTCACACATATATGAGGCACATTCCCACTGGTAACCATGAGGCTTTTGAAATAAGTATTTTTCTTAACGGTCATGATTTTGCTTTCTGAGTGTTAGATTGTTGATATTGCTTCTTATGTCGTATCCATTATTTCACAGACGGAATTAACTCCACTACGAATAGACCTTAGGAACAAAATCTATCGAAAGCTTTCAGTTCACAAACGCTCTTTAACTTATGGTATTTTCTTATATTATGTAAGCATAAAAGCAGTCTCGATATTTAGTCATATGCAGATCATGTATGAAATGAAGATTCCATTACCAAAATTTCCGACCTAAATATTTATTTGCCTACTCTTTTGATCTCTGCCGTCTCCACAGAAAATTCAGACGCACTTAGATTGATATTATTATTACTATTATTACTTCCTTGGGTTCCGAGTGGAACATAGGGCTTCAACAACACATTTCCACTTTGTCCTATTCTCTGCGGTCCTCTTCAGCTAGGTCCAAGATTGCCCATAATCTTTCATCTCCTCCTCCAACTCACACGATTTCCTCCGCGTCACCCTAGAACGACTCCACTCGAGGAACTGACACGTGATGCCACTCGATGGTTTCCTCAATGTATGCACAATCCATCTCCGTTTTCTCTTACATATTTGTTGGACGATAGGTTCTTGGTTAGTTTGTTCCCATATGTTCTTGTGGCTAATTCTTTCTGGCTGGTCATTTGATCTTCAGTATGGAGTGAAGGCAGCTGTTGATGAAAGTCTGCAACCTGTTGGAAATCCTTTTCATGACACACTAGCCAAGTTTCTGACCCGTATAAAGGAACTAACTAGCTTAACATGGGTGTTGAAAATCAGAATCGTGTTCTTTATGCTGAGTGCAGAAGATTTTCAAACTGGTTTCAGGTTGATGGAGGTGTCATCTTACCCTTCCTATTCTGGCCTGCTTTGATATCTTCATCTGTTCCCCTTGTGGTTGAAACCATGCTTCCTAGATAGGTTAAGGAAGTAACCTCTTTCAAATTTCCCCCGCTGATGGTGATTGGTGGTGGTTGTTGTTGCTGTTGGTTGGTTATCTTCATCACTTCCGTCTTCTCTGTTTTCACCTGGAGTCCTGTCTTCGCTGGCAGCCTCTTCAGCCAGTTTGTTGGTTTTCGCCTGTAAGTCTTCGATTTTGTGTTACATTAAACATACGTCATCTGCAAAAACTAGATCTTCTAGATTTCACAGAGTTATATAGATTCTCTCAATTCTAAAGACACTTTTTCATGTATAGTATGAGTAATAAATATCACTGGAGTTGATTCATTCAGCTAAAATTAGACCTGTTCACTTTGTCATCAGTAAGTTTAATGGGAGAGTAAATTTCTGTAGGCTGCAGTAGAAATAGTTAGTCATTTTTTCTAGAGGTAACTAAATGGAATAATTATTACCTTCTACCTTATTCGATAGACTAAAAAAACAGCTCGTAAACAGTTGATGATATCTTTTCGACTAATTACCAGATTTCCTCATACTAAGTCTATAAAACTCAGAATTTCATTGACATGCAAGCCGATGATCAAAATATACAGCCAAAAGTGCATCTATGTTGATTCACAGCATGTAAATTACTTTTAGAATTGATTGCTAGTTTATGTAAGTTAGTGAAAAAGAAAGAAAGTTTCGGATTTTCAATCTCTTCAGAAATTCATTTTCCACTTAGTGTTTAGCTACTAATAATATAAATTTCTTTTCCGACTCTTTCAGTAGTGATAAAGAGAAACAGATACTTCATGTGCAGAAGCACACACTATAGATAGATCTTATTTAGTTTTATTAGGAACTGTGATGTACGACATCGATTATATATTTACAGGAATGATAGACTGCTACGGATTTCATTCAGTGGTGACCTCTTTCATTTAAAAACTGATAGAGGCTATTTAACATATTGTAGATTGTAGAATTCCACTGCTATGAGAAATTAGAAATGAAGCCATTAGGAAACCTGAGGATTCGGTCTCACCTTTACCTATACTATAGATGCACCCCAGTGTAACATTTATATAGTGTACCATAGTTAATAACAGTTTCCCAAGTACGCATTGTGAATCTACATGGTTATGTACAATTAAAACTTAGGGGGGGGGGAGATCAGTGTCCAGTATCTTACCGTGGAACTCTTTTTTATTCCTTTAAGTTCCCAGTGGAACATGGGGCTTCAAGCTTTAGCTTTAAAGTTTCAGTAGCAGTGTAGTTTTTACGATGTGGGGTAGCTAGCTTCACTCCCAACCTTTCCTCCTTGTCGAGTTAAGGCAGGTAAAGGAGCGCACCGATAGGGACTCGAAAGCCGGACCATGTGCATGGTCGGCCAACGCTCTACTGCTGAGCCACCGACGCACCTCTACTAATCAGAATCCAATCTTTCCGTTAGTGATTTTTCATCTCACTACATTAGTTCACTATGTCTCTAGTATGATAGGAATGATGTCACCAGATACTGAAAGAAATGTCAAATCTTTTCAGAAAGATTGTATTAAATCATTTAGGAACTTATATCTTTACACCATTCGGTGTAATAATAAACAGTAGGACTTTCTACCCTAAAATACACTGGCCTTGATTCCTTTTTTTTCTCTCATAATAATACGATTTTCGAATAGAAAAAAAATACGGAGTTCACAATACCATACACATCAATCATTTTCTCTCTCTTTAGAAAGTGTTTATTTATTGTCCTTAATATAGATTGTGAAATGTCAATCAACAATGTATTTCTTATAAAAGGTCACTAAACTCTTAGCGACTTCATGGAATATATATACATATACATATATGCAGTATATGGTATTTATTTTAAAGAGTTTTTATTTATATTAAACTCGTTCAAGCGATATAAGTGATATATATATGTATGCATATTAAAATAAATTGACTATGATGATTGGTTTTGCAGGATAACAAATAATAAAATATATACGGAATTGTATTCAGTATGATATGCACCCACAGAAATTACCATAAAATAGGGAAAAACACTTACAAAGTGCTAGCCAGCTGCACGTAGATAGTGTCTGTAAGGGTAGGTATGAATTTCAGGTTAGACCATGGATTGATACCAGTTACAGAACAATTACAAACCAACAGGGAGTAGTGGGCAGCTGTTTCGTCCTAGTTGGGGACCTGTCGGCAGTACGTATTCACTGCTAAGGGGTCGAACCTAGGACCTTCTGGTTACAACGCAAGCTCGTAGACCATTCAGCCACTGGGACCCGATTTAATGGTCTATGAATTCTAGCTTCTACCAATTGGTGATTTTAGCGCGACCACTAACCAGTGTCATCGGCGGAAACTTCACCCGATGAATCCAGAACTAGGACGAAACAGCTGTCCAGTAACTCCTTTTGGTTTTCAGTGGTTCTCTAACTGATATCAATTCGTGGGCAAACCTGAAACATATAGAATCCCTACCAACTAATTTTTGAAAATAATTATGAGTTATTATCTTCCTCCTGTAAACTTTTATTGTCCTCCAATCCTAAACGAAATATTGTCTTGATAGTTAGCACTTCAAGTTGCAGAATATTAATCTAACTATAAATTCACGTTTAGTTTAGTCTTGACATTGAGGTCTAGAGACCTCCAGTCGAGCAAAAGTAACAACAAGGACTGAAAGATTATGAGTATGTTTATATTAATTAGATATTTCATTATCCACTGGTTTATATTGACCATATAACATAAAGTCCGTGTGGAAACTTTGTTCAACTAGGAAGTGTCAACAACCAAAAAACAAAAAAGTCGAATTCAGATGTGTTTTAGCTATTTCTTCTAGTTATTTAGTGCTTAGCACTAAATGCACACAAGTGTATTAATTCTGAATACTAATTAAAAGTTTTGACTTTCAAAACAAAAAAGATTTTTAAATACACTAAAAAGAGACTATAACCTAAAGAAAGTTATACTTTAATTAGCACGGTCGTCAAATACTGAACCAGTACAGTGCACTTTTTGGATACTTTAAAATATTTCAAGATACTTAGCAAGCAGGATGACTTCAGTTTCAGTGAACTCATTGAAATTGCAATCATTCAAATGCTTAGAGTGTACTTGACCATTAAGCTACTGGAACCCGATCTATTGGCCAGTCCATGAAGTCAAACTTTTGCCAGTATATAGCACAACCTCCAGTCAGTGTCATAGGCGAGTAAATGATCTCTTACCTGACTTGTTTGACCCCACTGGTTATGACTTTCCACTAGGACTTCAGGTAACATCCTATATAGGGCCAGTTACCAGTAAGTATTAGATTAATTATCAAGTTTTGGTTTACAGGGATTCGATTGGTTATAAGTTTGGTCGTCAGTTGATATCAGTTAGAGAACCAGTGGGGTCAACCATGTCAGGTAAGAGATCATTTACTCGCCTATGAGATTTACTGGTGGTTGTGCGTTACAAATCGGGAATCGGCAGAAGTTGGGATTCATGAGTTAGGTCCCAGTAGTTGAATGATCTACGGGCCTGCCTTGTAACCGGGAGATCCTGGGTTCGACTCCCAGTGGGAGCATACTTTAAACTAGATTTACAGTACTCCTAGGTTTTCCATTTGATATAAATTTTTAGAAGAAAGTCAGTTATTCTTTCTTATCATTCAGGTACTTTGACTGTGTCTTCGTATCCGGTTTTTATTAGCACAATTATAATGAAGTTTGACTTTAGACTTCTGCATTTCCGTACCTGAGTTGTTTATCCACTGTCTTATATATTCCTACATTTTAACATTTATGCTGTTTTCACGGTAGTTAATAATAACAAATTTTAAGAAATCCTTTAAAAGATGTACAATACTCATACCTTAGTGTATCCTTTCAACTTCGAAATTGCTTTCACGACTTTAAACTGCACGTGTCTTGATACTATTTTTTGTTTT